TAATAATAATAATAATAATAATAATAATAATAATAAATGAATAGTATTTCGAGCCAAAACGAGCCGAACAAGAACGAACAATTTTTTTGTTCGTGTTCAGCTCGTTAACTTAGCGAACGAGCCGCACATGAGTTGTTTGCGAACAACGAGCCGTTTTGACAACCCTACTCTTCGTCTCAGCTTTCGAAGAACACCTAAGAGAGTGGCTCGAGGCAAATGACGAGGAAGTCAAAGTGGCTCTAGATATGGCTGAGGAGAACAGAGCAAACGCAACCCTCTGGCAAGAAGAGGTTAAGCAAAGGACCACTAGTTACTTCAACAAGCATGTGCGCAAAGAGAAATTTGCTCCAGGGAACCTGGTACTGAAAAAGTCGTCTCCGCCGCCGATGGAAAAGCTATCGGGATGCTGAATCAAACCTAAAACGGCCCATACATCATCCATAGAGAGTGGGGCCCAAATTCTATAAACTAAGGATGTGCAGGGAAAGACGTTCCTCAAACCTAGAGTGGCGACGGCCTAAAGAAATTCTTCCCTTGGAGATGTCACAATTTTCATATAACATTTTTTATCTTTCAAAAAGCTTAATGCAACTTTTTTTTTATTTTATATTTCATCTAAAAGTACAAGATTATGCATATTCAATGTCATTAACAACGCTTTCGATATTTTTTTTTATGTTCGAGGAACTAAAGGGAACACTCAGGGAACTAACGCAATTATGTTGGTGCAACTGACTCATTTGTTTTTTTCCAAAAGACAGGCTTCATTAATTAGCCTATGGGATCTATCGACACCCGACAACGACAAACTCTGCGAGGGGTATGCAAATGGTCATCTTGCGCCCTATTCTACATGTTAGCACCTGACAGCGACAAGTTTCGTGAGGGGTGCCTAACTATTACATGTGGCTTATGAGACGTATCGGCACCCTGTAGCGACAAGCTCCGCGAGGGGTGTGCGGATGATCATCCCACACCCAACTTTAAAGGAGATCATTATGGCCCATGGGACATACCGTCACTCGACAGTTACAAGCTCCGCGAGGGGTGTGCATACGCTCGTCCTACGCCCTATTCTAAATGTTAGGACAGTCTCTATTAGTTAGCCTATGGGATCTACCGACACCCGACAACGACAAACTCTGCGAGGGGTATGCAAATGGTCATCTTGCGCCCTATCCTACATGTTAGCACCTGACAGCGACAAGCGAGGGATGCCTAACTATTACATGTGGCCTATGAGACTTATCGGCACCCTGTAGCGACAAGCTCCGCGAGGGGTGTGCGGATGATCATCTCGCACCCAACTTTAAAGGAGATCATTATGGCCCATGGGACATACCGTCACTCGACAGTTACAAGCTCCGCGAGGGGTGTGCATACGCTCGTCCTGCGCCCTATTCTAAATGTTAGCACCCGACAGTGATAAACTCCACCAGGAGTGTCTGACTGCTAAATGTGGCTTATGGGACGTATCGGCAACCATCAGCGACAAGTTCTGTGAGGAATGTTTAAACAATTGTCCTGCACCCAACTTTAACATCAAGTGGCCTATGGGATGTATATGCATCCGGTATCGACAAGCTCTGCGATGGGTGTACAAACGATCGTCCTGAGTCCTATTTATAAACGTTAGCACTCGACAAGGACAAGCTCCGCAAGGATTGCACAAATGATCGTCCTGCGCCTTAACTATGACATTTACACTCACCAACGACAAGCTCTGCAAGGAACCTACGACAACCATATATATGAAATATATGCACACTCACCAACAACTCATAACACAAAAAATACTTGAGCATTTTCATCAATTAACAGGTAAGGGAAAAAGAAACCAGGATAACCCTCGACCTCAAAGAATTTTTTTTTTCTATATTCTGACAACACATTTTGCAAGTTACAAATATGGATTCCCATTACAAAAAAACAGAAAAAAAACAAAAAAAGAGAAGAAAGAGAAACAAAAAAATAGAAAGCAAAACTATTTTACATCTAGGCATTTGAAGATTCGCCAGAGTCTCCCGTCCTGGTCCCTTTGGTGCCAGTTCTTGTTATGCAGAGTCCTCGCTCAAAGAATCTGAAAGGAGTTTCCTAAATTCCTCCATATTCTGTCACTTGGGGTCCACCAGCTTGTGCTTCACAAACCTCTCGATTTTCAAGGAGGTATCAACTGCAATGTGGCGACAAAGGCCCTCAACATGCGCCTCCCTAATGACCATTGAAGACATTTTTTCTTTAAGCTCCTTGTTCTTATTTAGAAGAGCGACTCTTTCTCATGTTGTTGGGCGTCCATTTGTTGCCCCTCGATGAGGAGCTTCAACTGCCCTTTCACTGTAGCCATCTTCTGCTCTAGCTTGCAGACTTTCGAGGCAGATCGCCCGATGTATGTCTGGCAAGTCTTTGTTCGACTGATTCATGGTCCGATAAAGTCCCCTCAATTGTTCTGAAGGCTGATGATCGTCCCGAGGGACTTCCTTTTGTCATCTTCTGTCAATCGTTTGGTTAAGGTATTTTCTACTTCGTTGTTTATCTGAAACGATCGTCAATTACTACGTACAATCGGTTGTTCTTCCTTCCTAGGTTGCCCATCCATATTGAGATTCATGCGGACACAATTTAACGTGTACAGAATTATTCTCCAATAAAAAATTAAGGCTTGTATTATTTGATTAAACTTGAAAATCAAACCAATCCAAGCCAAATTTGATTGATTTAGTTTGGTTTTAAAAATACATTTCATTTTTTTTTTATATTTAAAATCTCATTATTCAATTTTTTGTTATTGATTTGGTTTTAGTTTTCATTTGTTCAAACAAACCAAACAGAACCAAAAAATATAAAATTAAATGGTGGATTCATGAATTAATATTTCAACTAATGATTAAATTTATTTTTGTTTATGCCCTAATCATTGAAATTTTGATTGGTTTTGTTTTCTGAATTATAGATTTTAGTTGCAATTAGTTTAACTAATTTAAAAATTGTTTAATCCGAATGGGCTAAATGCTCACCTCTATTAGAATTCCACTTTTCATGATTGTTTTTTTTTTCTTCCTTTAAAAAAAAAAAGATATTGCAACCAATTTGTAATTGGACAAACTTTTGCATGAGGAGAATTATCCCAAACGTACTCTTCCAAGTCTTTTCTTGTAGTGCTTGCAATTATTTGTAAAATTAATACAGAAATTATTGTTGGAAAATTAGACTTTTAAAAGATTTTTTTGTGGCGAAAGATCTCTCTTAATAGTTGCTCTCAATTTTGTCTACATGCGTGAGCTTTCTGCTTAATTTAACATGGCATGAGAATTTGACGCAAATTAAATTGAATTTAGACGATTTTTTTTTTAATCGATAGCTACAATTTCATATGTAACTTACACAACTTATTTAAAGTTTATTTCTTTTTCCTCTTTAATCTTCACAGATCCCAAAAGACATTATAACCCCTACAACATAAGGATGATTAAATAATATATATATAACATATATACATAATGCCGCCACAGCAGTAGGATGGTTAAAATTCTTCAATAACTGCTTATGGAACGTTTAGACGGCTAGTTTTGTAAATGATCACTGTTCAATGCATTTTTTAAACAACAATTTTTTGCATGAGAGGAATCATCTCAACGGAAAAATATGATCGTTTGCCTTTAAGTCTATAAATGTCTCAAGTTAATCCTCAAACTTTTTTTAATATGAGTTATAGATGATTATTTCAATCTCAATTTAAACAATTGATCGCTCATTTGGCTCTTAAATAAATATTGGAATTGAAACTTATTAATTCGGTACTTTTATCTCAAACATACTCTTCTAAATATTCTCATAATGCAAAATTAGACTTTGATATATACAATGTCATGAATCTTTTCCCTTCAAAACTAAGGTTTTTTTTCCCAATTCTAGCTGTGAAAATACTCATAATCACCCGAAGAAAAGTTAAATAAGAAAAATAAATAAATATAAAAAAATAAGATAACGTACATTTTATTGCATAAGAGTTATGTGAAGACAAAGTGCACACCCAGTTGCAATAACTGAGAGCGTAGTTCAGGCTCAAAGGTATTACTCATCGTTGAGATAACAATAAGCATGTGCAGGTGAAGACAGTTGCTCGAATAGTTGAAGGCGATCCCGGGAAGGTCATCTGCAGAGAGTCCGATCGTCTCAAGCCGGCTGCAGTTGTTCTCGGAACTCGCGGAAGGGGGATAATTAAAAGGTAAATACAACCTGCCACCCCCCAAATTATTACAATTATTGTTCCAGTTTCTGCTAAATTTACATACATACCCTTTAATTTCTGTGTTTACATATCTTAACTCTTGGAACTTAAATTTTCACGTGCATGCCACCTTACCTATGCATCACAGTGTATTTTGGGTGGCATAAACGTAAAAAAAAATAGAGTTAAGATGACAGCAGGCCACCTTCCATATGCATCACAGTGTATTTTGGGTGGCATAAACGTAAAAAAAATAGAGTTAAGATGACCAGATATGAAAATACATAGGATTGGGGCTCTGGTGGTATGTATGTAAATGCCCCGTTTACATATGGGTTATTGCTTTGCAGTGTTCTGAAGGGGAGTGTTAGTGAATACTGCTTCCACAACTGCAAGTCTGCACCAGTCATCATCGTCCCAGGAAAAGGTATATAAATCTCTTTTTCTCTCTCTCTACATGTCCAGACTGACCAACTAAACTACCTCATTTTGTGACAACAGAGGCCGGCGAGTCATCAGTTATCTAAATTGAAGCACAACTTCTGATGCATCATCAACATCTGACTTAACGGTCCTGCTCTAGAAATGTAAAACAAAATGTTTTTTTTTTTTTTTTTTTTTTTGGAACACTTATAATCAACCCAAATCCACATGAGTTAGTTTAAAGCCAATATTTATGTTGGATTTGAGTTGGGTTTTCACATGGGATCCAATATTGACACCCTAGAAAGAAGGTTGTAGAAATCAAGAAAACATAGAATCTATAGATGATTTGATGCAACAGGATTCATAATATAAATATACAATGTAACGAATAAAATTCAAGCAACCAAAATTTTAGGATTCACAATATAGCAACCATCATTTAAAACAATCATTCAAATTCTCTTGGTGCAAACCAAAAATATAATAATAATTTAATTACTATCAAAATAAAGATTCAATGAACAATTCTAAACAACTAAAATTGCCATTAGAATAGGATTCAAACCACAATAAGAAAATAATTTGAGACTGCAACAACAACAAGCCTTTATCCCAGTAAATGGGGTCGGCCACATGAATCTTTTTTCTCCATTTTATCCTATTAAGTGTCATATTTTTATTTAATTCTCATAAAATAAGATCATTTTTATACATTATGCCCAAATCTTTTTAGGTCCACTTCTACCTTTCTGAACATAAGTCGAATCTAAAATATCTACTCCCCTAATCGGACCATCAGATGGTCGACGTTTAATGTGAACAAACGATCTAAGATAACTCTCTCTAATTTTGTCCACCACTGGAGGTATACCAACCCTATCATGGATATATTCATTTCGCATTTTGTCTCTAAGTGCAAAGCCACCCATCCACCTAAGCATTCTTATCTCGACAACACTTAACTTAGTTTTATGCTTCTCTTTTAAAGGCCAATATTCAACGCCATAGAGCACTGCAAGTCTCACCGTCATCTTATAAAGTTTTCCTTTAGTCTAAGCAGTACTTTTCTATCACAAAATAGGCCCGAAGCATTACTCCATTTCAGCCAGCCAACTTAAATTCTACAAATAACATCCCCATCTATATCACCATCACTTTGAACAATATACTGGAGATATCTAGAGCATTCACACCCTTTAATAATTTGATCACTCATAGTTACAACTCTATCACTAGAGCTACTACTACTAAAATTATATTCCACGTATTCAGTTTTAGTTCTACTCGAACAAAAGCCTTTAAACTCCAATATAGACTTCCATAATTTAAGTTTTTCCTGAGCTTTCTCTCTAGTTTTATCCACAAGGAGGATATCATCAGTGAAAAGCATAAACCAAAGTACATCCTCCTATAAATGTCTAGTAAGAGCATCAATAACAAAAGCAAAAAGGTATGGGCTTAAAGTCGATCCTTGATGTAATCCAACAAACATAGGAAAATATTTGGTCAATCCTCCATTTCGAACACAAGTAACAGCTCTAGTATACATATCTTCAATGACTTGAATACAAGTCATATCAACACCTTT